TCCATATTTAGAAACTATGCAAATCTTCAAAAACCAACATAAAATAATCTAAGTTGTCAATCTTGGACGCCACATTCTCTAACTAAACATTCCCAAAATATTCAGTAATTGATAAATCAGCTGAGACGTTACTAACGGCTGATGCAGACACGACGTCTTATCTCCAGGTTGGGGCATCTTCTTCGCCATGTTGAAAATAACAAGTTGGGACTTCTTTATTCAACATGTTGCTGCCAAGTTGTTTTTACCAAAATGATTGTCAATCAGAAATTCAGAGAAATAACAATCTCCCCCTTTAGCATATTTTGGAAAAAACAACCAAAGAACCGTTGCACACAAAACGCCATAATATATTTGAAAAATAAAACATACATATCAGAGGCATAACAGCGGTTGAGTTAACTAACTATTGTGATATTGCACGTACTTTCCAGTATACTACAACCGTCTAAGAACCGTAATTGTAGGTAACACATTTACAACAACACTCTACATAACAATGTCTGGACTTGTGTGATTATATATATTTTCCAACCGTTGTTAAATGCTTTTTTCGTAGCAGTGAAGGGAGGATTTGGACAACCGCAAGAAAATGAAATGATATATAAAACAAGAAGGTCCAAGATATTAGAAAAGTGGCTAAAGAGATGTTGAGAGAATCAATAGATTTTGGACCCATGGGTAAAGAATCGTGGTGGTGGAATGAAAATGTTCAGGATAAAGTTAGAGTAAAAAAGGATTGCTTTAAAGAATGAGTCTCAGTATAAAAATGTTAAAACTTGAAAAAAGTATACGAAATCTAAGAATGATACCAAGAAGGTGGTGAGTGAAGTAAGAACTCAAACTTTTGATAAATTATACCAATTTTTAAGAACCAAGGAGGGAGAATATATATATATATATATATATATATATATATATATATATATATATATATATATATATATATATATATATATATATATATATATATATATATATATATATATATATATATATATATATATATATATATATATATATATATATATATATATATATATATATATATATATGTGTGTGTGTGTGTGTGTGTGTGTGTGTGTGTATATAAATGTAATAGAACAATGACAATCGACTATCCTAGGGTGTAAATTGATTGTTTGGCCTCAAAAATGCGGAAAAATAATTTAGAGGGAGAATAATCAATTGATGTTCCCTTCAATCGATTGCACCTTTGAGATTTTTAGTCAAATATTGTTTTGATCATAACTTGAGATCCGTGACTCTGTTAGAGGTACAGTTCGAAGTGTTGGAAAGCTAACGCGAATTACCATCGAATGGAATTTTTTTAGAGGATAAACATGTTGTGGTAAAATGATTGATGTTGTTTGATTTTTGAGAAAAAATCTCAATTTAACTATGTCAGTTTCTCGACGTTTTATACCATAACTTTTTATCCATAAGTCCAAATGATACCCCATTTGAAGCATAGAAAGCAAAAGCTTAGATATACATCATGGTAGTTCTTGGTGAAATAATTGAGAAGTGATCATGTATCTACTGTAGGAATATTTGTGATGGCCTTTATAACCATTAATGAATCGTTGTCTTATATTGAGGATGTGTTGATGTTATAATAAATTAATATGATTGAGTACTTGTGAATATACATTGATGAGTTGCTGTTGTTTGTGTTATTTGTTGATTATTATAATATTGATTAATAATGTTGTACGATGATTGATGTTATATGTATCAGTGATACACGCGTGATGATTATTTTTGTGATAATACATGTTGTTGAGTGTCATGCATCATGGTGTGTGGAATCTGGTCCAATTTTGGTGAGCCTTGATTTTATGCTGGGAATCGAGTGCGAGTAGCTAATTCCATTGAAGGATTAATGAAGCGTTGTTATATGGTGATTAGGGGCGATTTTTGGTGTGCTTTGATTCCAAGAGGGAATCTGGTCCTATGACGGGGATCGAAGAGCAAGATGAACCTGAGTGTTCATAAATGGTACCACATGCATAATGAGTCAATTGTAGAGTACATTGCATACATGGCTTCATATGTGGTTGATTGTTCATGTTGTTGTTGATTGGTTTAAAATAAAAGTATGTTATTATGAATGGGCGTGAGACCATGTTGTTGTTAATTGTGTAATGAATGTGCGCTTGTTGTACATTTCTCTACCTTAGAATTCTATACACTATTTATATTGAATTTTGTTTCTCACCCCTTTGCTTTGATATTGTCCACCATGGACATCTTGCAGATACTCAAGAGTAGAATTTGCTGATGTAAGTGGAAGTTAGCTCCTGGAGTTACTTCGTTTAGTTTTATTATTGTTTAGAAGTATTGCTTTAATCCTATAACATCGAGGTTTGGAATGTTTGCTCACTTATTATGTTTGTTGGAGTTTAATTGTTTTTTTTTTGTTTATGTTGTAGTTATTAAGAGTTGAATATGAACTCTTTATTTTTTTAAAACTGTTTATTATAATTTAAAGTTGAGACTAAAAGTCTAACTTACAATGTCTTATGAAATTAAATCGATACCGCTGTAATGATACCCTAAGTAAAGGTGAATGTGCAATGAAAGGTGTTGTATGACGTTATTATTTTCGCTGCATATTTCTTAAATGCTTGATTTATTAAAGGATTTTCGTTGGTGACACCTTAAATTATCGTGTAATACTTAATATATAAGTTTTGGTGTTAAAGGTGTTATATATTGAGTGGCTCGCCAAACTATTTAATAAAATTATAAATCTAAGAAAATTCCAGATAAATGGAGAAGAGACACTTTAGCTCCAATCTATAAGAACAAGAGGGATATACAAAATTGTGTAGGGGGTTAAACTTATGAGTCATACCATGAAATTATGAGAACGAATGATTGAACATAGACTAAGAAAAAGGACTCGAGTAACTGAGAATCAATTTGGTTTTATGCCTGGAAGATCGACCATAGAAACGATCTATCTACTATGACGTGTGATGGAGCAATATTATATGGACCAATAAGACACACTTAATTTTTATTGACTTGGAGAAGGCATATGATAGAGCGCTTAGAGAGATTTTATGGAAATCTCTATAGAAGAAAATGGTTAGGGTTGCATATATTTGAGTTATCCAAGACATGTATGAAGGGGTATCGACTAGTGTACAAACACAAGGTAGAGAGACAAATGATTTCCCTACTATAATAGGTGCAAGGTCCAACACTAAGCCTCTATCTTTTTATCTTAATTTTGGATGTACTCATGGAACACATCCACAAGCTAGCACCGAGATGCATGTTTTTTTACAAATAATTATAATCCTACTTAGAGACTCGAAGGAGGATTTAAATGCAAGCTTGAAGACGAGATTTAGAAACACATGATTTTCGTTTAAACATAAGTAAGACATAGTATATGAAATGTAAATTCAATAAAAGAATAAGCCTTTCTAATCTATAGGTGAAACTTCGAGACCATATCACCCTTAAGTCACACAATTTAATATCTTGAGTCCGTAATATAAAATGATGGAGAAATAAAAAGGGACGTAAACTATCAAATTCACGCTGAATGGCTGTAATGGAGAAGGATTTCATGGATTTTATGACCAAAAAAATCTATGAAGCCATACGATGTTGTACAAGACAAACTATTGAGCGATTAAGAATCAACACGAGAATAAAGTTAGTGTAGCAGAGATGAGATGATGTGTTGAATGTATGGTAAGACTAGACAAGATATGATTAGAAATAAAAATATTAGAGTGTGTGTGTGTGTTTGTGTGTGTGTGTGTGTGTTAAAGTAACACTTATAGTAGAGAAGATTGTGGAAAATAAACTTAGATGATTTGGGCATGTAGAGACAATACGTGTAGATTATGTAGTAAGAAGAGTAACTATGATTGAGAGAAGTCAAACAATTAAAAGAATAAGAAAATCTAAAAAGAATATAAGACAAGTTATTAAGAATTATCTTGATTAACGAGTTAGATAGAAACACAATCCTAGATAAATAATTATGGTAAAAGTTGATCGATGTAGACGACCTCACTTAGTAGGATAAAACTTGGTTGTTGTTGTATCATTGTTTTAAATCAATAATTTTTTATCATTATTATAAAAAAAATATTTTAACTTATTTAATGCTACTATTTTTAATATACTTCTTATAATAAAAAAACATTTAATATTAATAATTAATTGTATTTTTTTTGATAAATTATAAAAAAACCATTTAATATATGAGAAAATGGATGATGCAGTGACCATGTAAATTATTTTTAAACTATCAACTAATGAAAACAATATATCCCGTCAAATTAGACTGTAAAATTTAAATTAATATATAATTTACCACTTTAAAATATTCTGGTTCGATGTCTTTGTAATATTTCTTTATACCGGTCATGCAGTACCATTAAACTCTTAATATATTTGTCCAATGTTTTATATAAAATTTAAATGATTGGTTACATTTAATTATATTATTAATTAATATAAAATAATTTATTTATTTATAATAATAACAATAAAAGTATTTATTTTTATCTTTAAATATACAATCTCAAAATTTAAATCACAAATATTAAAAAAAAACTAATAATAGCATTAATTTATCAATAATTAATAATAAAATCTTATCTCTTACCAAAGAGGATCAACTTATACTTTCCCTATGAAAAAATCTATAGAATTAAATATTTGTAGACAAATGATTTAAAATAGATGACAAGAAAATGTCTTATATTTTTAAATAGAGGTACTAAATCTTTTGAGGGTTAATCTCTGTTGTGCGAAAAAATATTCAATTTTATATAAATAAATAAATAAATAAAGATATTAAAGAGTGAGTCAGCTCATCTGAAAAGAATTACGGAAAAGAAAGGAGAAAAAGGTGAAGAACAGAAGAAAGAATGAAAATCTGTGATCCTCGTGGATACCAACAACAACAACAACAAAAACAAAATCCTCTCGGCAACATTTTCTCCTTCAACGACGTCGTTTAACGAATGGGCAACTGTGGTACCAGAGAAGAATCCGCCGTTGTTTCCAATGCTCAAGGTTCATTTTCACTTTCTCTTTCATTCAGATCTACTCTTCTCCTTCCCCATCATCAATCTCAAATTCAAATTCACATTAAATTAAATTTCAACAAACTCGTAACTAACTCCTAACTAACTCTGCATTATTTTCTATTACAGTTCAGCAGCTACATCCTGCTGCCGGAGCTAGAAACCAAACCACCGGCACCGGCACCGGCGGCGCTATTGAACGGAAAAACTCCAGTCTCAGACATCATCTAACCGATTCCGCTTCGGATCTGAGCGAGTCGTGTTCAACGCCGCGCTGGAACAACGCTAATAATAATAATACACTTCTTTATACGCACGTTATAGCTTTCACGCTCTACGAGCTTGAAACCATAACGAAAAGCTTTCGCGCTGATTATATTTTGGGGGAAGGAGGGTTTGGTACTGTTTATAAAGGCTACATTGATGAGAATGTTAGGGTTGGACTTAAATCTCTTCCTGTGGCTGTTAAAGTGTTGAATAAAGAAGGACTTCAAGGTCATCGCGAGTGGCTCGTAAGTTTCTAATTTCGTTTTGGTGTTTGTAGATTTTTGTTTTCTCTTGTGATTTTCTTGATTTTTTGTTTTGTTTTGGTGTAGACGGAGGTCAATTTTCTTGGACAGCTTAGGCATCCTAATCTTGTGAAGTTGATTGGTTACTGCTGTGAGGATGATCATAGGCTGCTTGTCTATGAATTCATGTTTCGAGGAAGTTTGGAAAATCATCTATTCCGAAGTATGCTTGATTTTCTTTTGTTTCTTTTGGTAATTTCTTATGTTTTGGTAGGAATTGAATGGAATGATTTTGGATCTGAGTAAGGAGGATTTCTTAGCAGTGTTGTCAAATAGCGGCTATAAATGGAATTTTAACCTACCACTTTTGTTCTGCTGTACACAATTTTGTATCAAGTATTGTCATCTAATGGCAGAGTTTGAACAAGTACTATTTTCTAGAATCTGTGATTGACAACACTGCATCTTAGGTGTTTGACTTTGGATGAGCTTAATGTGTTACTGAATGACCAATTTAATTGAAATGTTTTGTAAATGGTGTTGTTTCATGAGTGTTTTAGTTCTTCATGTTAAATTTTAAGAAAATATTTCATGAGACAGAATACATAAGAATTTCTCTCATAAGTTTGCTTTTGGTTGCACTTGTTCTCTGAAGTTTCTAATTGAAGTGTTGAAATTTATGTGATTTCTTTCTAATCTATAGATGATTACTGTTGTTGTACTAGTTATGAAATTAGATTTTTTTCTAGTTTCTTGATGTGCTTTTTCAAATTTCAACTCATTGATATGAATTTTCCTGAGGTTTCCAGAGGCAACTGTTCCTTTAACATGGGCTACAAGAATGATGATTGCTCTTGGTGCTGCCAAAGGGCTTGCCTTTCTCCACAATGCTGAAAGGCCGGTAATCTATCGTGACTTCAAGACGTCTAATATATTATTGGACTCTGTAAGTGTCTGGTATTTTTTTATGGCTGTTTAATAATGGATTTGTTATCTTAATTTATTCACTTCGTGTCGCCTTTGACTCTACAGGACTATACAGCCAAGCTTTCTGATTTTGGGTTAGCTAAAGCAGGGCCTCAAGGTGATGAAACCCATGTATCCACCCGAGTCATGGGTACATATGGTTATGCTGCCCCTGAATATGTAATGACTGGTATGACCCCAATGCACATTCTCATTTTGTAAATAGATGGGAAAAGTTACTTGAAAATTTTGACACCATAAAGTTGGTCTTAATCATCATATGCTGTGATTTGAAATTGAGGCTAATACATCTTTGATAATTAATAACAAATTAATTTAAATATTATGTGGCTGGCTGACAGCACATAGATCATAATACAATTGATTAATTTTTGTGTACTATGTGTCCTTTCCTTGTGTATGTTTTGTAATAAACAATAAGTTTTTTTTTACATTGTACTATCTCATACTCCCTCCGGAATGAAATATAAGTAAACGTGGTTTGTGAAAAGTTGACATATCTGGTTAAAAATTAAGACAACATATATCAATTTTTCAGATGTCCTTTTTTGCCTAAATTTCATTCCAATGTGAGTAGTTCATAGCACAAATCAGTTATTTGCTTACGTGTACCCATTGAGCATGCCAGATAACATGGGCCTTTGTGTGCATGTGCTCTTGTCATGGTGCATATGTTTGAGCATGAATGGATGCATATCTAAACTTGGCATATGTGGAATTCATCAGGCCACCTAACAGCTAGGAGTGATGTATATAGCTTTGGGGTTGTTCTTTTGGAGCTTTTAACCGGAAGGAAGTCTGTTGACAAGACCAGACCCGGGAAGGAACAAAGCTTGGTAGATTGGGCACGTCCAAAGCTCAACGACAAGAGAAAGCTCCTACAAATAGTTGATCCTAGATTGGAGAATCAGTATTCAGTGAGGGCGGCACAGAAAGCATGTAGCCTGGCTTACTACTGCTTGAGTCAAAATCCTAAAGCAAGACCACTAATGAGCGATGTAGTCGAGACATTGGAACCCTTACAAAGTTCTACTGTTGGTGCAGACGAAGTCTCATTATCAGGATCAAATAGTGGGAGTGGCGGTCCTTTTGCCATGAACAAAATCTCCGATTACCGAATGCGTCACAAGTTTTCAAATAACGTTGGCCCAGGTGCTACTTGTCGATCTCCCAACCCAAACTGCTCGCCAGGTCCTGCTGCAGCTTTACGGGTCAGATGATAGTTTCATCCTACAAATCTGTCTGGTGTGCTACTTGTCAAGTAATAGTATTTGCTGTTAAAAATGTGAGTTCACTTCACCCTTGTATTTGTTGCTTTGTAAATGGTATATTATGGCGACAAGAAGCCCTGGTGGATGATTTTTGTATCATTGTTTGATATTCTGTTCATTTTGACGGGAGTTATTGTTTGCCGAAATTTCTGTCGTTGTAATCATGGTGGCATCAGAACAAATTTTCTTGGTTCTTCACAACAGAGGTTGCTTGAACCTGCAAGTCTATTGGTTTTTGATTGTTAGGTAAACTTGGTGTGCAAGAGAGTCTTGTCATGTTTTAACAATCTCATCCCATTTAGAGTTTCATTTTTCAAGTGATCTATTGGGTTTTCAATTTTATGCTTAATGTGGTCCAGAACAAAATGATAACGGTTTGTAACAGTTTTAATGCTCGTGATTAATAAGGTTAGAAATTGAATACTATACAATCTTAAATTGATTTCGTCGTTTAACTAATCTACTTTAACTAACAGTGGCAGATTCTATTATTAAGAATATCAATAAATGGTGTACAGTGGATCACTTTAATAATTAGTTTATGGTGGACCAATGGGTGAAGTTGATACTCTGTTTAATCACAAAATAAGAAAAATACCAGCCACACTTTTTAACGAGTATTTTTTTTATTGATGAGACACATATTAGTTTTAAATTTTAATAATAAAAAATACAGTACTTGTTTCTTAAAAAGTGGGTTCTTAACATTATTATTCCACTGGAAAATTAACAACCGTCAATGAATTAAAGTAAAACCTCATTATTATCCATGTTTCATTGGTGAGTGAATGACCTGATAGATTTGATGTCCATTCAACAAAGAGATTAAAATTTGTTGAATTCTGAAGCATATTCGTATTTATTTTTCCCCAACAATGTCTCACTATTACTCTTTACTAAAGAGAAGTGAAAACTAAAAGGTCTAAATAAAAATTACAAATTAAATAAAAAATTTGCAAGAAAATAATTAGATATTTATTAAATATGTTTAAATGTTTATTTGTAAAAACCACTCATTTCATATTAAATTTTAGATTAATTTTTTAAAAACGATCTAAACCAAATCAAATCATATAATACTTATTTACTTTTAAATAAATTTAAATTTTTTAATAGCCATTTATTTTTGAAAAAATTTAAAGTCGACCTAAACCAAATGCATACATTTTTAATACTTGTTTATTTAAAAAAAAATTAAAGTCAATCTAAACTGCATGTATATTTTTATATTAATAAAATATATTATAATAAGAATTATTCTTTTAATATTATTTATTAGTTTGATTTATAATATTTACTTTCATTATCTTATACCAAGGTTTTAAATTTTAAATTTAATAAAGAGTTGTCAAACATTAAAACTTAAATTTGACAGAAAATTGTATATATTTTAGGTTTGAAAAAATAGATTAATATCTAAAAAAATATTTAATAAATTTTTAGAATTAACTTATTTAGATTCAAGTGAAATTTATTAACTCATTTGAATTGTCATTTAAATATTCATCTTTTAAATTTTTCTTTTACTGTTATTTTATATAATTGAAATTAAAAAATCAAATATACGATTTATTATAAATATAGATCAATACTTATAAGTATAGATCAATACTTAAAAGTTGATGTATATATGTGGATCCGTTACTAGTTAAATATTATATAAATATTATTTATTAGGAGTGATATTTTTATGATATTAATTACAAATATAATTTATAATTTTGATATCTAAAATCCATATTTAATTAAATTATCAGATCAAACCGGATTTTTTAAACCAATCAAAACTGCAGATAAATTTATTTTTGGATCTGATCAATTAAAACAAAAAATAATTTTGAAGTGTTGATGAGAGCCTTGTAAAATTTGTTATCAAACACCATCGCACATTCATATGGTTAACCATTCATGAAACTAATTAAAAAAAACTTAGCTAACCACAAATTTCATATGACAAACACTTACATATTCATATGGTTAAAATCAGTATAATAAATAACAAATCAGAGGCACGAACCACAAAGCCGAACTTGTGCTCATGGCTGAGCAAAACTGTCATATTCTCCGAAAACAAAAACAAAAAACAAACAAAATAAAGATAAGATAGATAAATTGGAGTGTGTGAAATCCTGGTAGTGACCCCCCAATGTTTATGTCTCCATATGACAGACATGAATCAGTCTCCAGACACGTGAGTCTTGCTCTCATAATATTTTTTCTCACTCTCACCTTTCTTCTCATTGCGTTTCTGCATGCAAACAAAGAGTAAAAAGTAAGAAAGACAATAACAAAGAGACAGAGTTCCGCACTCGCATGTTCATGATGAAAATGAGAAATTCTTGATATATTTCCAAGATTCATGCACATGGTGTGTTCAAAGGAGGTGCAGCCTAAGGGGAAGTAATGAGCCTAAGATCTTGCAAAAGTCAGTCCTTTTTGGTTGGAGAAAATGATTTTGATATTTGTTAGTATTTTTTTAATTGCAAAAAGAGTACCTTTTTTCATTATGTTTCTGTACAAATAGAAATCTTTAATGAAAACTATTTGATTTAGTAGTTGTGAAAGTGATATACTATCTCACCATCTTCCATTTAATACACAAGACTTGATAGATGAAAGTGATATACTAACTACAAAGCACTACATAACCTTTTCAAAAGAAGCAATTTATACAGAACTAGAAACATGCAATAACAAAACTCACATCTTCATCGTCTCATTCAAGTCCCATTTTCTTTTCAGTGAAGGGAAAGGTGCCAAAAAGTGGTGCCTTACTGATTTAAGGCATTAATACTAGAAACTTTATATCCAATTCGTTAATTTCTCTCAAGTCTTTGTGTGCCTCTAGTTGTTTGACTCAATGTTTAAATACTCGAGAGTTTACGCAGAATCGGTAGAGGATTCAAAAATCGTAACTCGAGGATCGTAACACGGATCATAAGATCCTACTACGGGTGGAAAAATATAGGCGTCGTCGACGGCTATGTCTTGTTGAATGAAAGGGAAAGCTTGAATGTGAAAGAGAATTTATGTTGCAAGAATTTGGTAACGGTTAAGTTATTCAATTCCAAGGTATGATAAGTTTTCCTTGCGAAAGAGAAATTTTAATAGTGCCTTTAAGAAGAGAAGTGATATTTTGACACCTAAATTTGGGTGTCAAAAAAGGTGTCAAATGTAATTTTTAGGTGTAGTAGTGTATTATTGAAATTCGTATAAGTGTATGAAATGAAAAAATAGCAAAGATATAGAGACATTAGTATACGGTTGATATACGGTGTCAGATACGGCGTCAAATATTAGAAGTTCAAATAACACTTCTCCTTTGAGAATTCCTATTCTATAAAAATAATAATAAATCAATATTTAATAATAACCGACCCCATTTATCCTTGAAAAAGAGAAAGTTTGATGGTGTATTCAAGAATTCTTATTTTATTAAAATAATAATAAACCAGTATTTATAATACCCGACCGATCCAGGCCCAGTTTAGTAAATTGGGTTTTTCCCCTTAAAAATGCAGCACCGCTCTGCAAAATTGAAACGAGTCACATTTTGGACTCGGGTGAGTTTACCAAGTTTCAGCTACCGAGCTTACTGCCGATTCAGCATGCTGGCATGCCACTGAGATGTTAACTCAGGCGATTTTGCAAGTCAACTCGCGATACTGCTTACACCGGTTTGACTCCTCTCCATCTAAACTTTCACCAACTTTTCTCCTATAGGTGCTACCCCAAAACTCTCTCTAATATTGTCATTTCTAATATTATCCCATCCTCATCTCTGTTACACTTACTTTATTCCCGTATCAATTCTTAACTATCCAACATTCTGTCTCGTGCAATACCATTGGTCTTACCGATGACCGATCCGATAAAATTTTCCCTTCAGCTTTAGTACATTTATGTCACATAAAACCCACGAGGCTCTCCTCCATTTCAACCACCCAGATTGAATTCAACATTCAACAATTTACATCCCTTCTATTTCTCCATTGTATTACGGGCCCAAGATAATGACTTGTGGGATGATTGTGGGATGATATGGTCTTCAACTTTCACCTCTAGAATAAAAATGTTTCTCTTTTTGCTAAACTTATATCCATATACTCCGTCTTATACTTTTCTAAGACTCATCTCCAAGTCTCCAACCACTCATTTAAATCCTCACTCGACTCTCTAAGTAGAACTATATTATCCGCAAAAAGCATACATCTTGGATGTGTTATGTGAATACAACCAAAATTTAAATATAAAAAAGGTAGGAACTTAGTGTTAAACCTTAGTGCAAATCAGACAACTGCCCCCAATGAAGCAAGTTAACTAAGCATAACTAACTAAACTGTATTAAACAGTTTTGTAGAGCAGACATCATCTCAAAACGAAAAACGAAGAACACTCGAGTCTTATCCCACTAGATGGCTTTAGGTACATAGGTATTGATGTTATTGAGCTCTACCAAAAGCTAAATTTTCATTAAAACCGTTTAGATTAATTTTTTTCAAAATAATTTCTACTACATAGATCAACTACTACAGTCTTCCTTCAGTACTCCTTTCAATCTTATTTGATCACTTTTCTCAGTAATGCCTCAACAAGTACCACTCAAAAAGTTCCAATTCAAGAAAAGAAGCATACTCTTCAACAATAAAACGTTATATATAGTGCTTTGAGTGAAAAAGTGTCTTGGCTTGGCACAGAACTAAACGATTATGATAAAAAAAAATGCTTATGTTCTTAAAGTGACAATAAGAAAATGAAAAATGATAAGCTCGAGAATCCAACAGTATGAATTAACCAAATAAAAACGACAAGGTCTAACATACCTGGTATGCCTCATGATTCGACACAATCCTCCTAATTATTGTAGTAGTTGTTATATCTAAAGGACTATCTAAAACTTGGAATATGCCAAGGCTAATGGGAACCGCATACGGATTCGATTGTTCCTGTATGAAAGCTAGTGTCAATAACAAATAGTAAAAAAGCAAAGCTGTAAATGCAGATGCGACTTAACACCCTCTTATATTATTAAAAGTATAAGTGATGAATACATCATTGAAGCAGAAGTATACAATTTACCTTCTGAAAATCAGTATTTTCTGCACATGTTCCATGAGCAACTACCGAGATGTTAAACGTTGTGATCTGTATTCAAAGAATTTGAACAATGTGTCACATTACAACAATCCACAACTCTAATCCTGTAACCTCAACGGACGAAAATCAAATTCTCTTGATAATGATAAAAAGTTGAATAGCTCAAAAGTGTTTATAACAAGAGAAAAGAATCATCGCATACAAAGAATAAAAAAAATAAACGAGCAAAAGTTAGACTAACCATATCCTTGGACACCTCCCACGGTGCACCAATTATAACCTCGTCCACATAGCGACATGCTAAGACACTTAGACTTCTTTCGTGAAGACTCATGATGGGACGATGCAATCCCCTAGTTGCACTGCAAAGCCAAAAAAAATCAAACATTGTCACCATGTGCACCATATAAACATTAACAATTACAGATCATAAATGCTCAAATTATTAAGGGAGTATGTTTACTCCAGCTCATGATAGCTTATGATACACCCTACACATATTATCCAACAGTAATGGTAACAGCGATTGAATAGTAAGAATAATTTCAGAAACGGAATATTCATTCTTCTCAAATTTTCTATAGATAGTTTCTTAGAATGAGTTGGTCTAACTCAACCTTACAAATCCTGATATGGTATTAGAGGTTGTCCATCAATCAGATCACCACTATTATATCAATGAACCAAGCCTAGTAGTGTTGGGCGTGAAGATATGTATTGAGACAAACCCAAGTACCATTGAATAAAGATAATGTATGAAATGAGTTTATAAAAACTGACATTCTTCATCTTACAAACCGGTTTTGTCAGGACTAGTCAAGTCCAATATAAAAAAACCTAAAACAGATTTTTTGCTAACTGCCTTTCACTTACGGTAACATCGATTATATTTCGAAATATTTTTTTTTTAAAAGCAGGTATGAAAAGGCAGAGATGTAAAAGGTATGCAACCTGACTGTCTGATCCGTGTGTATCCCAACAAGAAGAAAATCTCCACGAGCCCTGGCAAGCCTCAAGATCTATATAAAATGAAGGTCTGTTAATAAAAGGCACAATATCCCAGCTACACATCCATTTAAACAAGGAAAACTTCATAAAAAAATTTAAAAGTGTTTTTTTTCTTCATAAAAACAATTTGAAACTAAAGGGATCTACATCACATTCTATATAGGTTATAACCAGCGATAACTGGATCTTGTTTGGATTAGCTTAGTTTGCATTGAAACAGCTTATAAACATGTAAATGAATGAGCTTTTGAACTACAAAAAAGCTATTTTTAGGTAATGATCGAGCAAAACCAAAATACTATAGGATATGCAATGGATTATTAAGCAACTAATAATAAGGTATGCAAACAATACCTCCACATGTCCGGCATGAAAGAGATCAAAAGCGCCATCTATATATACAATGCGTGCATCGGGTCCTGGACTCTGGAACAGAAAACAAGAGTAGATTATCACATGATATGAAGAAATTACTGAAATACGCAAGTTTTAATTGTGAGAAAAATGTTACACCGCCCCTAAGTTGCAAGAAATCAATATAGCAACCATGAAAAGAGATCAGAAAATTTATTTTAAAAAAAAAAGACTTTCAAATCATCCTTCATATACTCCTCTCTTCATCTTTACCAAGAAGTTAGAAAAAAGCAAGCCAAACAAACAAGTTCACAAAAATAACACGAGTTGCCTAAAAAAGAGACTAGCTAGATGAGTCATTCATGTCTCACACACCAAGAAAGTCTAGCGACCGTGGGTGTGTAGTTCTTTTTACGGTTTTTCATGGCTGTCACGTCACTACTTATTAACTACTATAGGTGATCACAACTTCAGATCAACACAAATCCAAATGAAGGATATAACTAAGAAATGAATTTCCAGACGGTCAAGTGAGTTAAATCGATCATTAGGTTTGTAAATTGTACGCCACCAATGTTGCTTCTTTCCTATTTCTAATAACCCAATGCATACAACCTAGCTAACGGAAGGGAAGTTCCATAGCAATGCTACTGGACATCAGTTGCTCCCATTGTTAACCCATTTTTCCCCTGGCGTAGAAGGATAACTTGGAACTTGGTTAACCCTGATTTGACTCAGGTTTCCAACACCATTAAGTGCGATAAACAAGGTTGTTACATGAATGGATTTATTAAAACAATGAAAACTACAAGGAATTCGGACGACAAGGGGTTCTTTGCAACAATAAAAATTTGATAACAAGCTTACATGCAGTTGGAAATCAGAATAAAGATTTTTAAATAAACATACCCTCCCATTTGAGAACTGAACAATTCTACGAGATGTAGGCAGAAAATGAGATACACGGGTTCCACTAGCAACAACACCTTCGTCAAACTTCTGACCACGGCCATTACTGAACTGTCTTTGTAAAGAAGAATGATTATGGGAATCGGTAATAGTCCTTTCTCTTACACAGAGCAGCATTCGACCTGCACTTGAAATTGTCGTATAACATTAGTTATACATTGTTACATACTAGTATATATTCTCAAGCAACCCTATCGTCAAGGAGAAAAAAGCAATCGCATGCTTGCAGAACAAAGAGAACCATCTACAATGGAGTAATCAACAAACACCACTGCTTGTCGAGTGAGAACACCATAGTCCACAGAACAATTTATACTCATCTTAAATAGCATGATGACAACTCCCTTGAAACGACCATGAGAAAGATCTTAAACAACACGAGAGCATTCCACTCAAATTAAACACATCAAAGTACCTCTAATGCAATAATTTATATCGAAGAGAAACAACATGCCGAATAGCACCGCTACCAAATAAAGAAATATTACTCTAAGACTACTAACCAACAATATCAGTGCTAGAAACTCCTTCAGTGCGCTTGATCTGTTTATAACGGCCAGCCTTTTTGGCATGAGCATAAGCATCCGTTCCATCAGGAAGAACACAAGGATCATCCCCATGAATAATGTAATCTATATTATACTCATCAAAAAGCTTCTTCATGAATTCCTCCGTTATCGCATACGGAGCTTCCGGAATAACCTCATCAACCCATTTCACAGCATTCACCATAATCAACCTATCACACACACATCACCATCATCAATATCTCAAATAAATACCAACCAAATACATCACAAATGCCAAATCAAAAATGAGTTTCAACATTTAAACAAATACCATACATAAAAATAAAATAAAAATAAAAAAACACATATCTTCCATTTTAGTGCAATCAATGAATCAAAACCATATAAAATAATGAGAAAAAAAACATCTTTTTACTCAGAAATGGTTAATGAAATTGAAAGAATATACCACAAATGCCAAAAAGGGAATAATAAAAATGAAACCTTTCATGTAAAGGGGTAACAGGAGGACCCTTATTAGCAATAATTTCATCATCACTAACAACCCCAACAATCAATTGATCACCAAGAGCACGAGCCTGACGCAAAGCATTACAATGACCATAATGCATCATATCAAAGCACCCATCCATGTAAACACGAATCGGTTTTTTGTTCCTTCTTCTACTACCACCATTCCTTTTCCACAACCCAAATGGCCCAGAAGCATATATACCCAATACTGATACACCCACGATCATAACTCCGACAACCCACTTCACCACCGCGTGCTTCTCCAACAACGATTCAACACTACTACTACCCATTTCTTTTTTCCTTGGTTTCTCACTCACCGATGATTCTTGTGGCTATTCCTCATTCGCAGGACGAGGAACCGAATAATGGTAAACGTGAAGGAATTGTGAAAAGTGAAATATTCGGTTTTTTGGATTGGATGCTTAATTGATGAATAAGAGAATTTTTTTCCTTTTCAGGTTATTATTGTTCTGTGGAAAGAAAACTGGGCCAAGAAGGAAGACAGATTTGGTTTGGGGATGGGATGGGATGGGATGGAATACACAACATTGTAGAGACATAAGAACCACACAGCCCATCGTATTTTCTGTAGTCTCTTTCTTATGTCGGCCCATTCTTTTTTTTTTTTAATAACAATTCTATTATATCTTTTTGAAAGATTTCTACTAAATCAAGGAATCAAAGACTTTGTTTGAATCCACGAAATGCAATAGAACGAAATAAATTTTTATTGTTTGAATTAGTTAAAATTAAATGGAATAGATTATAATGCAATTGTTCCGTTTTAGAATCAGAATTGAATGTATTGGTTCAATAAGAATTTTGAATAAATGGGACTGATCTTTAGAATGGCGGTGCGGGATGAACCTGCAAGGTTAATATTCTAACGTCCAAGTCAATTTATTATTTAAGATGAGTATAACAAAAATTGGATATTAGAGAATGTACTTTGTTTTCTGTGTGAACTAACTTTTATATCTTGGACCAAGTGAATTGGATTTGATTGAATTGGGCCCTACCTATTTGGATCTTTGACCGGTTCAGAACAGTTTCTCCCAAGACTTTGTCGGACACCAAGAGAGTCGCAGAAACCTTTAGTGATTTTGTCCAACCTTCAAGGATGTTGTTCGATGAGAACTAGAAGCGAAACGCTTGAAGTCAGTTGAAAAAGTAGTGGGAAACAAGCGCATTAAATGTGTTTTCATCATTAGAACGTTTCACTGCTTTCTTCTAACATGTTTGTTCACCTTATTAGTCGGGGCATGCTACTGCTTATATAGTGCACTCAAGTGCACTTAAGTTTTCTTGCATTCCCTAAGAGAAATTCAGTTGTTGATTCCATAACTCCTTTCCATCGTTGATTTGGATCATTTAATCAATTTGCATATAAATAGGGGGATTTATGCCATGAGGAAACCTTTCGAAATCCTTGGATTCAATTTTATTCATACTCGCTCTTATTAGCAAACATATTCTTCTCTTCCTTCTTGAAAGCGTTCATCAGCGATTATAGCCTTTTGATCAAATTCTCTACCTTTCTTCATTAACTTCGCTTCATCAATCTCATAAAACTAGGTACCCTTCTCAACTCAAGATTTTGCCTTCAACATTTCCTGTTTCCTAGCTAAGATGAGTGATAGTATTGTTCACCTAGTGAGTGATTTTGAGAGTGATATTTCTTTTGTTGTAGAAATAGGGGTATCCCCTAACTTTCATCTTCCTCCTCTTGCTCGCGATTTCCTGAGCCAAGAAGTTATATCCCTATCTAATGATTTTTATTTTGAAAGGGTAATATGGGAACTCACATAACGAGGGAGGTTTGGCATTCAATTGTTTCAAAGCACGTCTATCATATGACAGTGAAGAGGGAAATCATATTGAAGTCCCCGTGCCCCCTCCCATTTTGACTAAGCGGGAAATACAAGCTAACAAACAGATGATAGAACGCGTTGACGATTTCATCCAACCTTATCTGAGAACCAATAACTGCAAACCTAGTGATGCTGAAATGAATACCCGCTTGGAGCTTTGTGGTAGGCCACATGTAGTTTCTTACATTACACTTGGGGAGCATTCTAAAGTCGACTACTTGTCCCATAGAGGCGTGACGTTGATGGAGTCGGCAAACTCAGTCAATGACAGTTGTGTGGACGTAGAAGTGGTGGGTACCCCATCTGTTTTGAGTAATGGAGTGGAAATAGATGTTGCTAGTGTCATAGTCGGCAACCCTCTGGACTGGTCGACTTCTCATGTGGGTCAGGATAAGAAGATATGCAACTTTTTCACGAATGCACAGTCTCGTTCTACAAGTGTTTGTTCATAAAAATTGGACTATGAATGCCCTTTTCTGATTTTAAAGTGGTCTTCTTAAGCATTTGAAGGTTTCCATTTCCCAGCTTCATCAGGGGCTTGGGTGTATATGAAGGTTTTCCAGTTTTGTGTTAAGTATAAGTCTTAGAAGCCTCCCATTGGGTAGTTCTTCAGTATGTTCTACACGGTGGCGCTTATTAGGAAAACACCTGTGACCAATGGCTTATGCTTTTCCACCCAGATGATCCTTGGTTTGACCACTCCACCCATGACTAAGGCGATTTCCTACAACATTTCTTGCTGGTAAAACCCCTTAATCTAGAGGCTTGTCTCACCTTCTGCTACTCCTCGACTACATATTCTCGTTTTTATAAAGGAAGAATCTTGAACTGATGGTCCTGACCTTACTTCCACCATAACATTTATTTCTACCGCATAAAGTTAGGTCATTTATCCCCTGATGAGGTATTAATGAAGGACAACCTACGTGTTGGGTTCCAAGGATTTAGCTATGAAGAAGGGTTTGGCCTCGGGAAGGTTCCTTCTTCCGAGTTGAGGAAGAAATGACACTTATGCCATCGTGAGTGAGGTCGGTCAGGGAGGAAATAAATCTTTGGTGAGGACAAAGTCTCATATTTTTTTAACATGTGTGATTGCATATTGCAAATAATATGGATAAATTAAAGATGATCTACGAACTCGCCAATGCTCGAGAAATTAATATTGACCCCACCAGCTAGGTTGTGACGCACACTCTGACAATCACTACCCATATCCCAGCCACCAGGACCACTGTTGATGCCCTCGAGGTCAACCAACGGATTAGTGTTATGGCCATTTTTTTAAAGAAGGATACACTCATTTTCCCATTTTGACAAAGAGGGGCCAAGATGAAGACCAACATTCCCCCTTTTGAAGAGGGGAATCCCAAACGAACTCGTCTGGCTAGGGATGCTTTGTCAGGTCCAATTGTAACATCTTGATTTTTATTAACTATTTTACTAGTTATTTAATTATTATGTGGCATGATATTTATTTAATTATTTGAATATATGTGTTATTTGAATAATTGGGTTATTAGGTGTATTAATGAATGAAATAACAAGTTGGACCTAATTGTGAGAAATATAAGTAATAAGGGGGTATGAGTTGCTAAGCCCAATAAGAGAAACAATAGTTAGTAAGGGTTATGTGAAAACAAAGATTAAAATCCTCATTTTTGTAAAAAGAAGAGAAGAGAAGAAAAGAGGAAAAGAGGAGAAAAGAAGACAAGAAGGAGGAAGAATCCTAAGGTGGCTACATTCAAGGTAATGGGGAGAATCCTTGTTATTGTGGGTTTGTATATGATTGGGTGATGATTAGTGACATGAACTAGGATTTGGTATTTCAATTTCTAGGTTTTTGATTCACCTAGGTTGAAATTAGAATCTGAAATTGATGTTTGGAAATCATGTTTTTATGTTAACAATAGTAGTTATGTGATAGATACATGCTATAATGCATTTATTTGGTGAAAAATGGACACTAGAACATGATTTGGGAAGGATCTTGGTGTTTGGACAGAAGTTGTTCGCAATAAATTTTTCTGCATAATGCGAAGCGCGCTTAGCGCGGGTAGGGCCGCTTAGCGCGGGTGCCTGGATATATAATTTCTATTTTTGCATGAATGTCTTAGGGGGGTTGCATGCTTATGAATTATTATTAGTTTACATGAATTTTAATAATTTATTCGATGTGTTTTGGATTAGTTTGGGATGCATTTCGATGAATACATGATACTTGATTTTAGTATATGTATGTTGTATTTTGGTGATTGTTTATAATGATATTGGTTGGCTTATATGCTATATGTTATTTATGAGTTGTGATGATGATTAATATTATGCAAATGTATTGTTAACGATGTTTATATGATACATGATATTTTGTATAATTGTTGGTGGATAATTCAATGTGTTGAATTATTGTGATATGCTTGGATGATTAAGATTGTGAGACGGTCTTAATTGCACATTTTTATTGGAAATTGTACATGCATTCATGAGGAGATTGAACTCCGGTTGGTTTCTTTGATCCTTGTGTAGAAATAGAAGCAGTGGACTATATGTTCATAATGATGGTTGCTTTGATCCTTGTGTGGAAATAGAAACGGTGGACTATATGCTCACAGTGATGGGCTTTGATATTGTTTGAATCGGAAGTGTGGCTCTGATTCTAGATATGGAATCGAGATCAAGGTGAGCTTGATGTTCACGTTGATACCACATGCATTAGTCGCATTGAGTTGTATTGGAAGTCTCATGAGTCATTATATGATATTATTTTGAATTATATTATGTGATAATTGGTAAATTGTACATGAATGTTACGTTGGTGGTATTTGTGCTATATGCGAGCAATACGTGTATTCATATACTTGTAATATTTATATATTGATTTCTTTGATACTTGAATTATCAAGCTATGTTGTATGGACGATCATATGAAGTATGGAGAATTATTTTGATAAATGTTGTTATGCGTTACTCTGTATTATATATATTTCAATAATGATTTGAATTCTCACCATTTTGTTGGAATGATGTTCTATGCGAAATTGTGCAGGTATCGAAGATAGTGGTGCTTCGCACGAGGATAGTTGAGGAGCTTAGTTAGGTCTATTCACTTGTTTAGGTAGTGAGTCAATGCTCTGGTTATGTAACATTGAGGGGATATTTTGAACTCATGTTTGTTATTGAGAGATATTGTTATACTCTCGTATTTTTTATTTGTATGTTGAGTGGCCTTGGTGCCTAATGTTTGGATTCACATGACTTGATATGTTATGAATTGGTTGTTATGTTGGCTTGTGATTATAGTATGAGATATAATCATTGTTATTAATTGAGTAGAGAATTATTTCGCTGTGATGTGCATAGTTTGTGGAAACATGAAGTTTAAATATGTGTTATGATTATGACCAGGTGTATGTTGATGATTG